GGAAGTTAACCTTAAACATTAGAACAAGAATTTTGTTTTCTTCCAAGTAAAGCCCTATAACTGTATTGATATATTGAATAAAGAAATGGTCAAACTTAGAAAAGAGATGGTGCGGTCCAAACTAAAACACTGTTTGGTAATTGGGTCATATCTAAAGCTGTAGATATCGGATTTAGGTCTACTTCATATAGATAGAAAAGTAAGACATAGGCCTACAACTTTTATATTGAATCCAAGATCTAAAAATGTCATTTTCAAGTCCAAATTGTAGCAACAACAAAGAAGTTCGAATATGTCCTAAAGCCCACGCACTGTTCAGTTTTTGGCCCATATCTAGAGTTCTAGAAGCCCAAATGACCTTCATTTTTTTTCCTGAAAAACTGAGACAATTTCCTACAAATTTCATGTTTCAAGTGGTTCCAATTCTGATGTTTTTAATTCTGATGTTATCAATAACATTTTGGACAGATAAAAAAAGATAAGAATTGTCACCAAGTTAAGAGTTAGTCACCCACTAATTAATTAGTCATCAAATCAATAGTTCCCAATTTTGGCCTATAAAAGGAGGTATTTGCCATGTATTTAAGCATCTTGGTTTCCAGATCAAGATCATTGCTCTTGCTTTCTCTCTTTGTATTTTTGTAATGCTTAAGTTTTATTTTCATTAATATCAAGTTGATGCATTTCAATTCCTTATCGTTACTTAGTTAACTTTTATCTTATTTATATTTTTATTTTTTTTATTTTTTTTATTATGTTTAGCTAAGTTTATTATGTCAAGGTGAAAATGTTACACTAATGGTGTAAAAATAAGTATAGTGTAAACTTAATATGGACTTTAATGTTTGATACTAACATGTTCTATATTTGTTATCTTTTCACTCTTTAATATTTTACTTCTTAAATGACTAATTTAAATTTATATTGTATAATACTTGGTATAACAAATACTTGGCACTCTTATAGCTCATACTATATGGTATACCCAACACCTCAACCATGAAAGGAACTTGATTTATTGTTAACATAAGTTATATTCATGAATGCCTAATAATATTTACAAGTATTAGCATTAATCAAATAAGATAACTAATATAATTATATTAATAATAAGTTATATTCATGAATGCCTAATAATATTTACAAGTATTAGCATTAATCAAATAAGATAACTAATATAATTATATTAATAATAAGTTATATTCATGAATGCCTAATAATATTTACAAGTATTAACATTAATCAAATAAGATAACTAATATAATTATATTAATAATTTACAATATGATTAGAACCTCTACAATATGATTAGAACCTCTTTTGTATGTAGTTTTCAATTGAATAATAAATTTATGTTATACTTATTTCACATATCATTAGTACATCCTCTAACCTTGACATTTATTGTTATCATTGTTTAATCTTTACGTTAATCTTCCATCTCAAAGTTCTCATCAACTTTTTCTTTTTCTTTTTTTTTCTTCTTTATAATTATTATTATTACCACTACTACAATTATTATTTTTTATTATTATTGTATTATTGTTATTTATAATGTATTCAATAAATCTCCATGTGATCCAATCCTGGTCTTGTCAGGTTATTTATTATTTTAACATTTTTATATTTAAAAAAAAACATTAATTTTTTAATTATATCAATGATTATAGTTGTTTCATATCTCAACCAGCATGGCAAGTAAATAGAGCCAACATCCATATGATGGTAAAAGCACCAAAGGACAGTTGTTCTGATTTCAGAAATCTTAAAAACAAAAATAAATAAATAAAAACAAATCCTTCATTAATCATTGACGCGTAACAAAAGTCAAAACATTAAATTTAGTGTTTTAATATGCAGGCGTAATTATAGCTTTTAAGATATTAAAAATATTCATGGCTAAATGGACCCCCCTGTATAGAGTGATACATCAATAACAAGTGGACCACCTTTATTGAGGAAAGAGAGAGATTGAAGATGTGCTTAAAATTATGTTAAGAAAAATATGCCTAAAAGAGTGAATATAATGTGAAGCCCATATTGATCCAGACCTTAAGATAGTTCTACAGGAATTCTCAGACCATCGCGCGCCAGCTGCACTGGTATTCCTTCCCTGCATGGAAACAATTATAAGAAGTTCAGATTCTTTAATTTATTGTAAACACAAGAATAGAGGTTCTTGTCTGATCACGTGAAGCAAAATTTATACCTTTGCGACCATTCCGTTAAAAAGTCATTGTCCTTGTAATGATCAAATTCATGGGTCATTCCAATTAAAAGAGCTCGCTTTGGGCATAATCTCTTCACTGTCTCAAGAGTCTGCATATTTACCTTAACATGTGAGAATAGAAGAATAAAAATGTTTCAAGATAATTGAATGATGAGAAATAAAAGACAAACCTGAGGGAGGCAAAAGTGTGTATTATGAGACCCATTCTGTACAAGAGATAGAAAGATTGGTGATTATATGACAAATTCCTGGAAGACACCAATGAGTTATAATGCAAAATGGCAAACATGAAATCCACAATGTTGTCCAGCGATATTAATGTGAAACAGCCTACAATATTAGAGGATGCATTAAAAGTGCTAGTTGGACCAATTACGAGATCAGGAGTCGAGAAACTTAAGGAATCATTCAATGAGCTTATTTAGAATATTTGAGCTAAGACAAGCTACAAATGATGATCATTCCTTAATTTGATCCAAGCAAAGGAAGGGGCTGATCCATGGGCATAAAGTTTTCGGCAAATTGGGCAGCATAGGAAGAGGCAGCTACAAGTTTTTTCCTTATTCTACAAGGACCAGTGGCAGCTTAGGAGTTCTATGTTTACAAAGAATCCTACTTATTTAAGGATTCTTAGTTGGCATCAACTTTACTTATCTTCCTTGGTAATAAAGCTGACAACTTGTCTTTGATTTGCAAGAAAAAAATAGGCTACTTTTCCTTAATTATCAAGGACTACAAAGTTGGTTTTTCAAGGATATACAAAAGTCACTAACTCGTTTTTTGGACAACATACAGCAACCTTGTTTTTTATTCAGACTTGCATTTTTTGTTTAGTTTTCATACTTTGGGTTATTTTTAAATTAGGTTTAATGTCAGCCTATTAGTCCAATACGATTAAGTCTATTTTAACACTATAAATACTCTTTTGTAAAGATTACTATTCAGATTGGATTTTTATTGATTACGTTGCAACTTTTGTGTGCTTGTGCAAGGATTATTCATACCTATTGGCACTTCATTGAAGATTCTTGAATTTATCAAAAAGAGCAACTGTCTTTGTGGCATTCATTCTTATTCTTATAATTCACAATTCCTTAAAATCATCAGGTTAGAGTCTTTATTCCAATAACTTTGATGTCTTGGTCCAGGTAATCATTGTGTTGAGTTTTTGCCATCCTTAAATATGATTTGTAGCTTTCTTGAGTTGTTTCTTCCATACATGTGGGTTCTTATACTTCAAGAGGCGACATTTCCTTCCCTAAATCCCTTCATTATAAGAAGAGCAATGCATATTATAAATATTGACTGCTAAAGCCATTTCGATCAAGTTTCAAAATCATATGGTTTCCTTTTTCTGGTTCATTGGAAGGATATTAGGCTTTGAGCTCTACAGCGAGGGACCATTCCCTTCCCTCCTATATCACATATGAGCAGGATTTGATCCCAAGTCACTTGAAACAACACCATGCCACTTTGAATATTAGAAAAAAATGCAACAAAACGTGGAGTGTAATTGCATATTTCACTCAAAATCCTAATTTGCCAAAATGGTCAGCCTCCCATCTTGGCAATTGGTTGAGGTACATTTCAGCCTCCATTGAATATCCCATACAAAGTTAAGCAATTAGATGGCAAGGTAACAATGATGATGTCTATAAATTAAATGACAAGTTGAGAGTTGGGCACATAATTGGAATTCAAAGAAAATTATGAGGACCATTTTGCAAATTACGCTCATTACTTTCTATGCTTTTACATGACTTACTTTGTTGGAGAACACACCAAAACAGAAAACTATAGCAAATGGCTTACTTTGTAAGACAACCAAAAGAGGAACACACTACAATATTTGTACAAGCCCATGCACACAAAATGCTTGCGTAAAAATCACCTAAGGGTTCATTTTTCCCACAGGATGAAAGAATGTGGATGTTTGTACCTCACTCTGATACTATCCAATATTCATTGGATTCAAAGAGGGAATATAAGAAAATAGAATATAAAGAATTTTTGCAACTAACCTTGTATAAAGTGTCCAGGATCAGAATATCCAATTGCCCTGCACTAGCTTTTGAAATTACTGCAAAAACCAATATGTCACTGTATCAAAAATATGACAGCACATATCCCCAGAAAACCATCCTCTTTTTACACATTCCACAGCCATTGAAAATCTCTCCACATGACAATGACTCATCTCCATTCGTGCACAGAATTAAGGGACTCTTAACATGTCTAAACAGTGCAAATATATGCTTCCAAATAAATTCTTACAAGAAAAGTGAACAAAATAAAACTAACCATGCTCTGTGCTAGATGGAATGCGTGAAACATCAGATATATAAGCTACTCTACATTTGTCACCAAAGAGAAACCCCAGAGAAATATAATCTTCTCCATGCATCACCTACATTACAGAAGAAAGATGGCACAAGAATAAGAAACAGGGCAGAGAGATAGAGTATTAGTAGTTTACACATATATTTTAAGAAAGGTTCAGATCTGGTAACTGGCAAAGGAACAAACTGTATGCCTGATGCAACAAATGGTCTTTGATGGTCTTCCTCAATTATATGCCAGTCCAGCTGTGCTACTCGTCTTATTTCCTGGCCTGGCTTCAATTGTTTCTGTACCAAGTAAGGGAATTTCTCTGCAATGCTGCACAAAGACAAAACATGCAGTGACATCAAGTAATGTTAAAAGTCGGATTGAAGTAAAGTGCAAAGTACAATAATATATCAAACGAATGGCACACCACATAAATAAGTTCTATGATCAGGAAGTCTGCATTAGACCTTGGTTTGTTGTAGAGTATTCACTTCTATAGTTACATTGCATCAGTATGACTCGTCTGCCAGGAAAATAGTTATCTTTCCCCTTCTAAACCTTCAAATCTTATCAACTATAGAAGTCTTAATAGATGTTCAAGTTACTTTCATCATATAGACTTTCAATCCTAGTGTTGATTATCTCAAAACTCACAAAGAAGGAACGATGAGCAGACAAAAGCATCAAATGATCATTAATTATCAAACATGCCCTGACTATGGGGAAAAAGTAGTAAAGGTGATGGTGATAAAAGCAAACCCAGAAAGAAGAGAATAGTTACCTATCCATTGCATGGTGACTTAGGTAGATGGGAGTGGGATCAATGTCATTTATCGGGCTATATGGTTGCACAGCACGTATATCATCAAGACCAAGAACTGCATCAGCATGTTCATGAGTCAAAATGATCTGCAGTTGATAAAAACAAATCAGTCCACGTGGCCTCAAAATGAGAAATAATATAATATATAGGAAATCATGATCATAAGCCTTACAGAATCAATACGAGGAATTTTATGGAGAGTAAACCACCTAAGGACTTGCTCCCTGAATGTCTTACCCACATCTATTAATATATAGCTGTGTGCATTATCACTCTTACTGTAGTGATCTATAACGAGTGATGTATTGCATCTGTAACCCACACCCAACAAAACACCAAACTCACTTTTATTTTTAATTAATTAATCAAATCCATCAACATTACATTAATTCCACAACGGACAAAATATGATAAATCGAACCTGTAGTTAGGGTTTTGGTTGGGAGGGACGGAGAGGGCCTGAGAGCAAACGGAGCAAGGAGGATCTGAGGGCTGGAGGAGGCACCTGACGTTGGGGACGGCGCTCGAGCATCCTGTCCCAAGGAAGATTAGAGCCGATCCGTTATTACAAATGTTGCTGTTTTGGTACTCCATTTTTCAGATTTGATTAGGGGTATGTGGTGTGGGAACAATGGATTTGATAAAAGAATGGCTAACAGACAGGAAGGAGAATGTAATAAAACAAGGAAATAAGAACGCGAACTGGGGAGAGGGAAAAAGAATTATATTTTTCTTTTCTTTTCTCATGTCCCCTGCTCTGTTACATCTGCCGTTAGCAGACATGGGTATCTGAAAATATTAATGTGGTTGGTTTTTAAATAATTTTTTATATTAAAATATATATTAATAATATTTTTTATTTTTAAAAAATTATTTATAATAGTAATATATTAAAATAATTTAAAAATATATTAATTTAAAATGAATAAAAAAATTTAATTTTTTTAAAAAGTATTTTTGAAATATAGAAACAAACAAGCTCACTTAATTACAATTATTAAAATAATATGTATTAAAAATGGGTAAAATGGTGCGTATTTATTAGCGATAGTAACTTCTATTTTAATTGATTTTTTTTTTGAAACCTTCAAACAAACCTATAACAATTATCCTCTTTTTATAATCATCTTGTCCTCTAGGTTACAGGTTAGAAATCCAAGTTTTACTTCGTTTATGAACTCCCACGTAGCCTCTACAAGAGCTAGCCCTTGCTTGTGGACTAAGACTTGTGTAGCAACTTGTTAACCTCTTTTAATAATCCTTCGATCAATGATTAATTGTGGTTATAGTAAAGGTTCTTTTAGACTGTTAGGTAAGCTTTTATGCACCACTCTATTTCTTGCGCTCTTTCTAAATAGAGATACATTAAAAACTGGATGAATAGTAGATAAGGATGAAAGGCTTAACTTATATATGACTTCCCATATCCTCTTGATCATGGTGTGCGGGCCATAGTATTTAATTGCTAGTTTATGGTAGTGTTAAATTATTGATCTCTGTTTATAAGGCTGTAATTTTAAGTAAATTGAATCGCTCATCTTCAGGACCCTATCACTTCTCTTTTTGTTAGCCAATTGCCTTATTTTGTTCTAGGATTTGACTAAGTTTTGTCAGACCATTTGCAGCATTTGCTCCTTTGTATTAAGGTAATAATCAACTGTCTTAATTGGTGAATCTTTGGGAAAATAAAGGATATGTATGAGAGGTGAAAAACCATAAAGTATTTTGTAGGGAGTAGATGTGGTAGCGATGTGAAAGTTTATGTTGTACCACCATTCACTCAAAGCTAGTCATTCATATAATTATGAAGGAGTGTTCCTTGTCATGCACCTTTCTAGCTTTTTATATGCCAGTTGACAACATTAATTTACCCGTCAAATTATGGATAATAGGCAATGGAGTAATGAAGGGTGACCCTTTTTAAGGTGAATAGTTCCTTCCAGAACTAATTAAAGAAAATGGCATCTTGATCGTTCACTATAATTACGGGCATTCCATGCAATTTATAGACCGAATCCATGAAGGTCCTAGCAACTATGTTAGTCGTATAAGGGTGTGAAAACATCATAGAATATGCATACTTGTTGAATATATCCACCATTACAAAGATAACTTCCTCGCTTTTTAATTTAGGGAGACCAATTATGAAATCTATGTTGATGCCTATGAATGGTGCTGTTAGCACTAGTAGCAGTTGTAATAGCCTTGGACTGACCATATTTTCTGTTTTACATCATTGACAGTTTAGGTATTTTCTTATATATTTTCTAATCTGTTTCTATTGTTTTCTAGTAAAGCATGCTAGTGACCCTTGCTATTGTGATTGTAAAACCTGAGTGTCCTCCTAAGAATGCATCATGATAAATAATTATGAGCTAATGCTGGAGTGCTAGATTGTTTCCCACCATAAGTTTTCCTTTCCTAAATAAGTAACTGTCACTCAACTTATAGTGAGGGTATATAGCCAAGTCTTTCATTAAGTCTTAGATGATGGATTGAATCTTGTTATCCTCCTCCTAGGTCTTCTTAATGTCTGCTACAAAAAGGGTTGATATTGTGGACAGTGCTAGAGTATTAAGTTCACTATCCTAAAAAAAGTGTCAGCTGCAACATTCTCTCTTCCCTTACAAAATTCAATTTTGTAATCAAATCCCAACAGTTCAGTTAGCCATAAATATTGAGAGGGAGAATATATTTCTTGATCTAGTAGGTATTTAAGGCTAACGTGGTCGATTATGATTTTAAAGGACCTTCCCCACAGATATTGTTTCCACTTAGTTACTACTAGTAGAATTGATAACATTTCCCTCTCATAGATGGATAATATATGTTCCCCTGCTCGCAAAGCCTTGCTATAAGTTATAGGATGTTCCTCCTATATATGTTCCCCTGCTCGCAAAGCCTTGCTAATATAAGTTATAGGATGTTCCTCCTACATTAACATTGTCACACTACTGACACGACGAAAAGATTAATGTCTTCTCCCAAGTGTAGGAGTGTCGAAGTAATAAATAACCCGGCAAGACCGGGGTCGAACCACAGGGAGGTTAATTGTACAAATTATAAACAACAATTATAAAACAACAATAACAACAACAGTA